TGAAATTCAAACACAAAGAATAATCTGCCTCCTTCACTTTTGGATTATTCTTTCACCAATTTAAAACACCAGGTTCATATAGCTAAACAGAAAAAGGGGGGTGGGTCAACAAACAACTATGAACCAGAGACACACTTTGGGGGTGGGACGGGGAAAGGAGGGATTGGGGTCAAAATCAGGGGGTTGCAGTTGTATGGGAAATAAAAAAATAAATTTAAAAAAGGGGGGTGGGGAGGTTAGAGCACAAGATTGTAAATTTTCACTGTCAATACAAAATAATGAATAAATGATGACCCTAAAATAGACTAGTGGTTGGAGGTAGCTTTTTGTTTGTTTGATTTGCATATTACACAATTATATCAATTTAGGCAACACATTGACTAAGTGCCACAAGCTTTACAAAAATTTCTAGGGTTCTAAAAAAATTTTACCACATAAGGAAACTGCAGCCAGAGAGGTCCAATAACTTGCCCAAAATTCCATCTAGGATGTTGGAATTAACACATAGGCAATCTGATCTCATGTCCAAGCCCTAACCACTCTGGCAGAGAGCTTACTAAAATCTTGTCTCCATTGCCCTTCCTCAACACCATGATTTCATATGATATGAAAGAAACAAGAAAACATGAAATCCTCTCACCTAGTACATAGCCTACAGCAAGCACTCGCTAGACAGTTCATTTAATCACATAGAAACACCTCCAAAAAATTTAGCTGGTGAAGTCCTGCTTTCTCATTAAATTCCCTCAGTCAAAACTGCAAAGTCTGTAACTTTAGTCCCCAGAGAATAAACTTTTTCTAACCAGTGACTCTGGCAAGCTGATGTCATCACTGAGAAGTTGCCAAGGACATAAAGCCTATATAACTGGGGTGGAACAATGCCAGTGCTGCTGCTGCTGCCAATCCCAGTTGGTTTCTTTCTCTACAGATTCCCCTTCAGTTCTCTAAGTGGGTGAATCCATCTGAAACCAGCACTACAGAACTTATGCCTAGAGAATGTGCTGCAAAGGAAACAGGATGCTTCTCCCAGTGGTTCTGAATAATTAGGTCGACTTGTGTGTTAGCAGCATCCTATAAAATGGCCGGCAGCAATGGTTGGTAGCAGTTTTTAATTCATTTTTCTCATCAGTACAGCCTGACCATTCCTGCACCACACTCTCAGATGACTGGAAACCAATTCTAGAAAATCTTAGTGCATGCACAATGCTCTCCCTATGTATTGAAAATAATAATAATATAGGTAACAGAGCGTGATTTTTGCAGAAGTCCTGAAGTGCTGGTAAAAATACACCAAGTATATCTGTTATGACTTATTACCAAAAGCAAGACCCAAGGGAACTTCAACGACTCTGAAGTTTTATGGAAAATGTTATTTGACTTGACCAGATTCAAATAAATTGTTGTTTCTTCTGGAAAAGAATATTCTTGATATTGAATCTGCAAGACTGACAATTTGGTTACCTTTGGATGTGCTGAAAGCATCAGAAACAAACCAGGGTGAGTTTTGTAGATTTTTATTTTATTCTGGTTCTGCCCTTAATGGTTTTCTGGCATTTTTTCTGAAATGTATGCAATAGACACTAGGTTTTCTTTTCATGCACCATATTCTTGGCATAAACTAACACCTGTTGCATACATCTACCTCTTTCAAAGCAATTTTTCCTGTGGCTCACAGAAATAGAAAAAAAAAGATGATTGAGAAAATTAGTTTAAAATGTCTATCCTTATCTTGTAATGAGAAAACAGAGGCTTCATTTCAGATCTCTCCTAGGTGTCCAGGTGAAATTTTCCACATTGAATTTCAAATAAACCCCTGGTCCCATTCTTGGTCAGTGCTTCAATTTTGCAACCACCATTTTTGAATTTAATAAGTTATAAAGATAATAGATGTAAATCATTTGACATTTAAAATGGTTTTCTAGAGCAATAGCTTTAAGAGAACGCTCTTAGAAAAACGTGTAAGCAGTAAAATTTATCGTTTAAGATGTGACTAGAGGGGGCTTCCGTGGTGGCACAAGAGGTTAAGACACTGCACTATGAAGCTATCTGCAGCCACTGCAGCACGAGTTCTATCCCAGGCCAGGGAGATGAGCCACATGGCACAGCACACCTCTCCTGTCTCGCCCGCTGCTTGCCTCATCAGTGTATTTCAGTGGATCTGCCTGTTCTGCTCCCCACTCTGTCTCTGGTGAATCCTCTAATCCTCCCACACCTCTGGCCTGTACCCCAGCTCTTGTATGCATAAATAAATAAATCTTTTGTAAAATAAGATATGACTGTAAATATTAATCCAACCATTTGAAACCATGAGTTTAATTTAAATGTTAACAAAAATGACTTCTGCTCCCAGAATACCTTTTTTGCCACAGATTTAATTGCTAGATCCCTGGTATGTCAGAGGTCCTTTTTTCCTCATCAGAGGTCATCTTGAAACTGTCCATTGTCTGCAGAAGCCCAGTGTAATGAGGTGTAGGAAATGACTGAAAAGAAAGGAAGAGCTAGGAGCAGAAGAGAAAGGCTTTCTCTGTTCTTTTGTCCTAAGTAATGTTGAATTGATTCATTTGTCCCACACAGAGCCTAACGTGGAGGGACGGTATAGAACACCGCTAGTGTTCTATACACTAGGGAAGAAGCTCACATAAGCTGACAGAGACCACGGAGCCAAGAGAGCCAGCTGGCGCGGGTGGTCTGCCCCTGGGAGGCTGGGCAGCAGGGCAGCAGCTTGAAGGGAGCCAGTCAGAGAAGAGACTCTCCCACATATGCCCATTCCAGCAGCCCAGGACATGTAGGAAGGAAGAGGGAGGTCACGGAGACACAGTCTACTTAATGCCCCAATTATGCCAACCACCACAAAAATTCAAATCAGGGTAGTGAGAAAGTTGGAAAAGACTGCATCAAAAATCAGGACACCTGAGGGCCTCCCTCATGGCACAGGGGTTAAACACAGTCCTATCAAGCCATGGACAGCCACTGCAGCAGGAGTTCAATCCCAGCCAGCCAGGGAGCTACCCACATGGCATGGCAGACCTCTCCTGTCTTGCCCGTTGCTCCCCTTAGCAGTGTGTTTCAGTCAGTCTGCCTGTTCTGTTCCCTTCTCTCTCTCTGGTGAGTCCTCTTACCCCCTGCAACTCTGACCTGTACCCCAGTTCTTCTATGCATAAATAAATAATAGACCTAAATATTACTCTAATTCTCTGTAAACTTGGGCCGGTTGCTGTGCCTCTTTCTGCCTCATTTTCTCTATTTGTAAAATGGAAAAAAAATGAGTAGGTAAGTGAGTTATTGTAGTTATTGTATTCTTAATTATTAAACCAAGCAGTGTACACCATGTGTATGATTTAAATGTTAACAGAAAAATTTCTCCTGCTCCAAAAATGCCTTCTTTGTCACAGATTTACTTTGGTAGTTCCCTGATATGACATGACCATTAGTCTTTTCTTTGATATAGATAACAAAAAGATCCATTTACTGCAGAAGCCCAGTGAGATGAGTTACAGAAAATATTTATCTTAGGTCCCTTTAAGGGTTAAGAAATTGCAATTCTATATAATATATACATTTCTTGTTTAAAAAAATAGCTACACCTGGGTTAAAGGTAGGCTAATTTGAAAGAAAATAAAATAGCTACTTTTATTTTACTTGTGGTTCAGAAAATGGAATTGCACTTTTTAAAAAATTTATTTATTTATATTTATTTTACATCATTGTTCATTTTAGTACAATGTTTGATTTCTCCTCTCAGGCGTAGTCCCTGTAAAATTCCCACCACCAATTCACCTGTGCACCGTCACCATAGTCCCTTGTGCTCTTCCCTCACCAGTTGTGATCCTTCTCCCTCCCCCTCCTCTGCAGAATGTCTCTGATTTATAGTTACCTCTTAATTTTATCTATTTATTATTATTTTATTTTCTGACCCCTTATCTGGTTCCCCTATATTCCTCCTATAAGTGAAACCAACCTTAGAATTGCACTTTTAAAAGAGCTGAGTTAGACACTGATGCTCTTAGGCCTGGACTTTGATCTCCAGCTTAAGAATGAATAAATCTGGGGGACACCCCTGGTGGTGCAGGGTTAAAGACACTGCCCTATCAAGCTATTGTCAGCCACTGCAGCACGAGTTCGATCCCCAACCAGGGAGCTAGCTCACCTGATGCAGACCTCTCCTGCCTTGCCTGCTGCTCCCCTCAGCAGTGTATTTCAGTCAGTCTGCCTGTTCTGCTCCCCACTCTGCCTCTGGTGAATTCTCTTACCCTCCACAACTCTGGCCTACCCCCCAGTTCTTGTATGCATAAATAAGTAAATCTTAAAAAAAAATGAGTGAATAAGTCTGCCCTGAGGGTTAGAGGAAAAGCAAGACTCCCTTTTATCTCTCCAGATTTTCCAAGGTTTCAGGTATTTTGTGCAGACTCTTTGAAAGAATTATTTTAAAAAAAAATCACAACCCTATTGCCAGTTATCTGACAGTTATCTGACAGATGCTACTTTCAGAAAACTAGATCACCAAAATTATTTTAATCTCAGGGCAACATCACAGAGCCAACAGGGGAGCAAGAGTCTGAGTTAGTGAAAATGCAGTCAACAGGACAATAAAGAAAACTGTTCAAGACCCAGAACAGTTTTTTGTGACCTTGAACAAAATATGTATTGGAGGTAAGGAGACTATTAATTTCTTATCCTATGTCTTAATCCTATAAAAACCTATGTCTCTCTACAATAATGGAGAAAAAAACTTGTTTGATCTCTTCCTGTTTGTGGCTGTTTTATATCTCATAGTGAAACAAGCTTCTCTATTTTGTTCTTCCATGTGTATGTGTTTCATGTCTATTATGCATCCAGCATGATTTAAGAGGCAAATGGGAATTTTTAAATAAAATATTTGACCATAAATTCTAGAATGAAAGAAAAGTCATAAACACAAGGAATTAAGTGATTAGATGACTGGTATAGATATTGTTTTGCTTTGTTTTTCTAATTATTGACAGAAGTGTCCAACAAGGAGAATGGAAGAAGCTATCCTATTCAATCAAACTACTATAGTGACCTATTTTCGTCTTAGAGGTTTATCTGTAAATCAGAACGTACAGATAGCAGTGTTCACCATGTTCCTCGTTTTTTACATCCTGACACTGATGGGCAACATCCTCATTGTCATAACGATTATCTATGACCACCAATTGCATACCCCTATGTATTTCTTCCTCTGCAATCTGTCCTTTATTGATGTGTGCCACACCACTGTCACTATCCCCAAGATGCTGATAGACACCTGGTTCGAAGATAAGCTCATCTCCTTTAATGCCTGTGTGACTCAGATGTTCTTCCTGCACCTCTTTGCCTGCACAGAGATCTTTCTCCTCACTATCATGGCCTATGATCGGTACGTGGCCATTTGCAAGCCCCTGCAGTACATGACAATAATAAGCTGGAAAGTGTGTGTGCTGCTAACTGTGGCCATCTGGGCAGGAGGCACCATCCACTCCATATCACTGACTTCCCTCACCATCAGGCTGCCCTACTGTGGTCCTGACGAGATCGACAACTTCTTCTGTGATGTACCTCAGGTCATCAAATTGGCCTGCACTGATACCCACATCATTGAGATTCTCATCGTCTCCAACAGTGGACTGATCTCTGTGGTCTGCTTTGTGGTCCTTGTGGTGTCCTATGCAGTCATCCTGGTGAGTCTGAGGCAGCGGATCTCTGAGGGGAAGCGGAAGGCCCTGTCCACCTGTGCAGCCCACCTCACCGTGGTCACGCTCTTCCTGGGGCACTGCATCTTTATCTATTCCCGCCCATCCACCAGCCTCCCAGAGGACAAGATAGTGTCTGTATTTTTCACCGCTGTCACCCCCCTACTGAACCCTATCATCTATACCCTTAGGAATGAAGACATGAAGAATGCACTGAACAAGTTAATGGGGAGGGAGGAGAGAAAAGGAAAACACTGAAAATTTCTAAACCTTAAGGTGTTTGGTGCTCCAAATCAGAGAAATGTCTTGCAAAGAATAAGATACATTCCATATTTATCATACTATATGACTTATAAAATTATCTTCTGGCCCAATATCTGATCATCATTGCACTGTGATTTTTAATATCATGTCTTCCATATGTTAGAACTTGTTCTAGGCAGTTTGCGTTTACCTATTTCTCACAACGACCTTGCAGTGTATTATTATACTTCTTTAATGCATATAAAAAATTAGAGGATAGCAAGTAGCATGCCCAAGGTTACCCATCTGAAAAACATAAAGGCAGGATTTTAACCTAAGGGCATCAACACAAACTCATGTTATTTTACAATGTTATTTTACTCATCATTTTACAATGCTGCCTCTCCCTGAATTTTTCTTAGGGCAATATGTAAGATTGAAACAAACCTTCACATTTCTGGGCAGCATTTGCCTATATCACTCCCTCAGATGCTTGCCTAAATAGCTTAGCAAGCACCAATTAAGATAGACAAAGGGAGCTTACATATGACTTCCTGACTTAAAAGAAGAGTCAAGACTTTGAAGTTATTGTGATCCTAAAGTGTCCAGGAAAAATCTATAAAATGGGAGTGTGTTTTTATTCCTTCACTTAACATTTACTGAGCACCTATTATAGGCTAAGTACCAGGTTTATAGTGATAAATAAAGCATACATAAGCACTTAATACTGAAAGTGCTTTTATGCCACTTAGAGTTTAGGGGAAAATAGGAAACAAATATATAAAGAAATAAATTTTAACTACAAACGGTGACAAATGCTGTAAAAGGACACAGCAGAATGCTCTTAGACAGTTCGAGATGAGACCATCTCTAGATTAACTAGTCAAGGAGCTTCTCCCTGAGAAAATAACATATCAGTTAGATGTAAAAGATGAAAAGAAAGAGAGGTAATGAACATTCTGGGCAGAAGAAATGGCAGTTGTAAACCATATGGTGGTTTCAGCTGAGACTGTGAAGCGGAGAATGGTGAGAAATGATAACGGAGAGATGTTCTCTCCAGTTTAGACTCTATTTCAGTAGAAAGGGGGAGCCACCAGGAGATGGTGTAGCACAGAATTGGTATGATATAACTTATGTTTTAGTGAAATTTATCCTAGTTATTATGGAGATGATTCATTCAACTAAAAATGTATTACCAAACACAATAGTCATTCAATAGTGCACTAATTCTGGGAGAAAATACCAAGTTGAATAAAACCTTGACTCTAGCTTGGTGACACACATGTAGTCCTGTGGTCAGTGCTGGTAGGGTGTGCTGAGTGAACTAGGATAATAGGGGATATGAAGAGGATGTTCCTGGCAACAGGGTTCCACATGCCTATAAGTAGAAAGCATAGTATATTAGAAGTCAGCAGTTGACTCTGACTCCATCAGCAAGAGAGGAGTGTTTCCATGGTGCCAGGCTTTCTCAGGTGAGGGTGCAACAACAAACCCAAGGGCAAAATTTTTTTAATTAAAAAATTGAACAAATAAACTTGTGAGCCATAAGGCCCAGCTGTTACATTTTTGTTCTATTTTTGCTTAGAATTGCATTAGGAAGGAAATTCAAGTCATTTCAGTTAAACAGAGATATGGTTAGGGAGGCATCCTGTAGAGTTTCTGGGCAGCACAAGTTAATGCCAACAAGCACATCTAATAATGAATAGTCTCCTTCCCAAAGATAGCTTTCTGCGTAGTATAAACTATGGGACTGGTTGATAAAATAACTGAACTGAATTTAAGAAGTGTAGAATTTGTATGAAGTAAATGCCTTTACTATAGACAATGGCAGGTAATAAGGAATAATTGCCTGTTCAAGAGCCCAAGTAGAGCCTCGTGCAGAAATCCCCCAACCAGAAGACTCAGGCAGTGTGACAGACAAAGCAATGCTTGTGAAAAGTCTAAAATGGTAGATGGTAAAACCACAATGGAACAGCAGTGTCAGGTTTGTTTGCTTCCCATATTTGCAAGCAAAATTTCTGCTACTCCCCATTTTCAATTGCATGAATCCTCTCAACTTTCTGGAGAGGTAAGATAATTTTATTCTCAATTTCACAGAAAATGTTTTGTGGACTCAGGGATAAAATAAAATATGTTTAGCTATTCACTAAATAAATTCAAGAGGAAAGAATAAAATGAAAATATCTTAACTCTTGGTTCTGCAGTTGACTTACTTTAAAGGGAGACAGGGAACACTGTCATTATAGAAACTTGTGCTCCATAGAGAAATTTGTTCAGCAAATTTGTATGCAATAATTGAATTCCTCAGGCTACAACCACATTCTACACACATAAATAAATGGGGCTTTAGGAATCTGTTTCTGCATAAAAAATACTAATGGTTATAAAAATCTGTTGTATATAGAAGACCAGAATGTAGTAGCATAGATCATTTTTCCACGTTTTTTTAATTGTGCATAGTAGTGGATTTATGACTTATTTCATCATAGATATAGAAAATTCTGGTTTTGACTTGGGTTTTATATGAAAATTGTAGAGGACTGACATGCAACATTGTCAACTTGCAACTGATAATGTTTACATATTTTCATGAGCACCTCCAGATTTATTTAATAAGTTGCTTCTGATTCTTTATCTTTTTGAGTATTCTCTGTCATTTCAACCATTTGTTACCTTTTGATCAGAGTTAGTGAGTCACTCACTCTGTATTGTATGTGTGTGTGTCCAATTGGGCATCCAGTTCTCTGGAGAACTTATAAGCATTGTTTCTACCGGTTACCAGAACTTATTAGAATAGTGACCCAAAGGTCCCAAATCAATGCTCAGTTCCTTTCAGAATAATAAAAATCAGATATATTTTTAGTATTAAATGTACTCTTTCATTCCATGAGTTCCATTAAAATTAATATTATGATTATTTTATATAGCAGCACTCTGACCATCTATAGGATATAGAAATCCTACTCCCTTTGGTCACACTAAGTCATCATCCTCTTTACCTAAGGACTTTGTTAAAGAGTTATTCCTTATATGGACCTACTCATGCCACAATAACCAATCTACTTCAACTCATTGCGTGACACTAATTCATTCAGGAGATCAACAGTTCTGATATACAAACCCAAGTGCCTTCTTAACTATTTTACCTATTCAAATTAACTTTAGAATATTGTTGGAAATTTTTATCCCAAAAAATTCTGTGGAGTTTTTATGATAAGCACATTAAATTAAATTGATAAATCAATTTAAGAAGGTCTGTTATATTTACAATGTTTTTATTCCTATATAGGAGCATGTATACATCTCTAGCCAAGATTTGTCAGGAGAGTGTTGTAGTTTTTCCCAAAAAGGCGCATATATTTCCTTTATTAGGCAAAAAAAAATAAACATGACATAGACAAATCTGCATTAACGTTCTATTGCTTCTATAACAACTTACCACAAATTTATAAGCTAAAACAACATAAATTTACTATCTTACAGTTCTGTTGGTTAGAAATTCAACATGAATCTCACTGGGCTAGTTACATCAAGGCGTCATTTTCTGGTCCCTTTTTTTTTTTTTTTTTTTTTGAGGCTAAGGTTCATTGATTTCATTTTCTTTTATTAAATTTATTTATTTTCTTACATTGTCATTAATTTTTGAACATTATTTGATTTCTCCCCTCAGATATAGTCCCTGTCACCTCCCACCACCATAACCCTTTTTTTAATTTCAAGTTCTATTAAGATATAATTGGCAAAAATTATATATATTTAAAATACATATTGTGATGATTTATGTATACATTGTGAAATGAAATGTATACATAATGTATACCACCATCAAGCTTACTAACACATCCATCTCCTCACATAGTCACATTTGTGTAGGGGTGGGGTAGGACACTTAAGATCAACTCTCTGCAAATTCCAAGTATACAGTAGAATATCATTAACTATAGTCACAATGCTATACAGTAGATCCCCAGAAGGTAGTTTTAACTGTGAATTTGGCTGCATTCGTTTTTGAAAGCTATAGGAAAGAATCTGTTTCCTTCACTTTTTCAGTTTCTAAAGACCTCCCAGGGCCTCCCCGGTGGCGCAGCGGTTGAGCTCTGGGTTGCGAAGCTGCCCGCAGCCTCTGCAGCGCCAGTTCGATCCCCGGCTGCTCCCTGGCCACGGGAGGAGGGTCCCGCATGGTGCACAGACCTCTCCTGCCGCCCGCTGCTCCCCTCAGCAGTGTGCTTCGGTCCTTCTGCCTGCTCTGCTCCCCGCTCTGGCTCTGATGAATTCTCTCACCCTCCTGCACTTCTGACTGTACCCAGTGCTTGTATAAATAAATAAATTAAAAAAAAAAAACATCTGTAGCCTTTTCTTTTCACTTGTCTTGATCCAAAAGCTCAGACCAATTTTAATTTTTAATTGCAAAAACTTAATTGCAATATCTTCTGATTCATCTATTGTTTCAGTTCATGTAAGTTCTGATTTCTCTTTTATTTAACATTACTATTTCTTGTTTTGATACTGTAAATTGCCACAAATCACAGTTAAATAAAGTTGAGGTGGAATATATAGTGCATTTTTAATCCCATCTGTTCCATTTTTTACTTAAGACTAAAGAAATCATCTGGAAATCTCAAAAGCATTATGTGCAAGCTTTAAGTAGGGGAGGATAGGGGAAGGCTATACAGTTATTTTCTGTATAGCTTATACTCAAATTGTGGTCTCGGCACCAGCAGCATCAATCAACATCACTTGGAAGCTGTTAGAAATGTAGAACCTCAGATCCCAACCAGAACTACTCAATCAAAGTATGCATTTTAAAAGACTCCCCAGGTGATTTTTATGCATACTATATTTGAGAAAATGTTCTGGACCACAGTATGTTGTGTGAAAAAAAGAAATCAATGTTAGAAAACATGGGTGGTGAGAGTAGCATGGGGTTCTAGTTAGCCATACTCAGGAAAAGAAAATAATGGCTAAAACCTGGAAACTGCTGGGTCACTGGTGATATTATACACTCAGGATATCAC